CCAGCCTATTATTATCTGAAAGCATGTTATAGTAGCATTCAGTAAACTAGCGGTTGGCCAATCAAAATGCCAGTTACAGTGGAAAATCGTAACATGAAGGTTTTAAGTATGGATGGGTCCACCTTTTGGAGTTCCCTGTGTTTCCTGTGTAAGTCATAATGTGTCATCTATGATTTCATTTTGAGTGATTTAAGGAACTAGTGCTTAAAAACAATTGTGAAGTAAGTTAAGTGCAGAATCCTCTAATTTTCATACATTTTCAATCTTTTATAGTTGATTAATCCATATCTGATGTAATAGCTTTGTTTTTTTTTCCTATTCATATTTATCATGTCATTCCTAAGTATTTAACTTTTATAGAGAACACTCTTTGAGACTAATATCTTATTGGTTTACATAATATTTCTTTATATTCTACTAGAGGCTCGGTGCATGAAAATTCATGCACTGGAAGGGGGAGTCCTTCAGCCTGGCCTGCCCCTCTCACAGTCCGGGAGCCTTCAGGGGCCGGAGGCTATCAGGGGAAGGTCGCGTCCTCATCACACCTCTGCTGCTGCTACTGCTGGCAGTGCAAATCTTAGCCGGCCTGGTTACCTGAGCCTCGGGCGGCCCTGGATGGCTGGGCAGCTGACATCCAAGGTTTGCCTGCACCTTGGGCTGGCCCTAGGTGGCTGGGCAGCTGACATTCTAGGCTTGTCTGTATCTTGGGCCGCCAGTGGGGACTGGGCAGCTGCCATCAGAGGCTTGCCTGTGCCTTGGGCTGGCCCTGTGTGGCTGGGGACTGAGGGAACTGGGGGACCCTGGAGCCATGCACCTGCTGCCCCAGTGGGGGTGAGGGGACTGGGTGCTGTCATCTTACGGCTGTGGGCACAGCCATCTTTGTGAGGGTGTGAGGGGCAGCATATTCCCTGTTTATTATTAGATAGGATAACAATAATATTATTATTATTAATAATATAATAAATACAAGTAGAGAAATAGATCTTTGACCCCAGAAGAGTATAGCTCAATTAGTGGAAGCAATAGTGTGCAGGAATTCTAGAGAGTAGCCATCTAACTTAAAAAATAATCAGGCATTGAAATTGAAATGCAATGAAAATGCTTTTGCTAATATAAATGAGATGGTAACTTCATAAATAGATACCATCCCTGAAATTAACTCATGAGCAGAAATGTCAATCATCAATTTGTTACAACTTCTGGTAACAATTGAAAGGTTATCTATTATATATGTCATATTTGTTACAGAAACATGAAAATGTGAGCATACATGTTCCTTAAAACTGACTAGGGTTTTTGTCAGTATGAGGTGATTTGTGGAATATTAGTTTTTTAGTTAACATTTATAAAACTTGCCCTGGTGACATTAAATTACATAAATATGTTATATCCAAGTTTTCACTAAGAAAATTCATTTGTTGCAGATTGTTACAACATAGTAATTTTGAAATGAAAAAAATCGTAAATGCAGACAGAATATCTTAGAGCGAGGATAATCATGGCAGTAATAGCAGGTTTCACACAATTCTATAGGCATATCCCATGTGCAGATATAATGAAATGTTTGGTTAGTGGGTGAGTTATTAAATGAACAATATTGATAATTTTTATGGCAGCCGTATCTATTTAGGGTTGTCCATATTTGAAACTAAGGATTTCTATTTTGTTTTGAGGTTTAAAAATTTTCTTTTCTGATAAAATGCAAATACCACATTTTCCGGTGTATAAGACGACTTTTGAAATGAAAAACAGTCAACCGAAAATCGGGGGCAAAAGACCAAAATTGCACAAAAATTACCTGCAGATCTTGACGGCAAAGTAAGTCTTCTCTTTGAAGTGGGGGGTAGTCTTATACAGTGAATATAGGCCTAAACCTATGTTTTAACTGTAAAAATTAGGGGGTCGTCTTATACACCGGAAAATACGGGTACACTTAAGAACTTTTAGCTTTATCAGCTACCAGTATTTAAAGTAGAATGAATGTGTGCATTAGCAAGGTGGGCTTTAGGTGTTCAATGTGTATATCTGTATGAAAAAGGATTGCCATAGAAAAAAACAGCTGCTGTATAGGGGAATTATTGTTTGAATAGTAATTTCTTTAAAATTGAGCATGTGTATTTTAGAGAACATAATTTAGACTTTTTTTTTTTTTTTTTTTTTTTTTTTTTTTTAATCCAGACAGCTAAACTTGAAAAAGGTTCTTGTATCTGGGGGCCGTCTGGAATACAAGGTTGATCCTGAACATTTGAAAGAAAATGCGAGTGAAAAAATTTGTATTCTTGCAATGGATGGAGCTGGAAGGGTGAGTATATATTTATGTAAAAGCGTAGTAATCTTAATATCAGTTGGTAGCTGTGGAGGACCTGATAATGTGTAAATGTATTCCCATGATAGTGATGACTTCTCTTGACTTTGTTTCTCAATTTGTTTTGACATTCAGTACTAATTAATATGGAGCTGGTACAATGACATTTAATGTAGCATAGTATTGCTTTGTTAAACTGTAGTTTAAAATATCATTTACTGTGCTTAAAATGGAAATAAGTAAGGGATTTTGATGGGTTGTTTTATATGTACACAGTATTGATAAATGATACTGAATTACATAGATCTGAGCTATGTTATATAACTACTCTTTAAAAAAAGTTAAGCAGGCGATATTAAAAATTTGATGCATAATTGAAATTTTTTCCCACAGATTCAGTTTTAAACAAATATATACATAATATGTATATGCAGATATTATAACTATCTTATATAAAAGATAATGTATTTCTAGAGCACTATATAAGGAATCATTTCTTTTCATTGAAGTAAATCCTATAGAGTTTTAATTTTAGTTCCCTTTTCAAACATATTAGTATATTTCTTTAGTAAAACTGTTAATTAAAAAAATACATATTATACATTAGTACACTGAAAAAATTTTACACCGACTAGAAAAACAGGTTGCTTACTGCTTTTTGCTATAAAATAAATCATACAATTAGGATATTTTTCTGATGTTTATAAAGTGCTGTGAAATTTGACATTTTAGAATTTGAAGAATTAAAATCATAAGGCTTCACCTACAGGTATACTACAGGCATAAAACTATTGTAGTTGATCATTTTAAACTTTTTAAAAATTATTTTATATATATATATTTTATTGATTTTTCACAGAGGAAGAGAGGGGGATAGAGAGTTAGAAACATTGATGAGAGAATCATTGATCAGCTGACTCTTGAACACCCCCTACTGGGGATGTGCCCGCAACCAAGGTACATGCCCTTGCCCGGAATCGAACCCGGGACCTTTCAGTCCGCAGGCCAACGCTCTATCCACTGAGCCAAACCGGTCCCAGCTGTAGTTGATCATTTTAATGGAGGGAACTATATTTAAGATTTAGATCTGATTTGTAGATGGAAGGGAGCAGAGGCATGGGATTGCATAACATCTTAAATATTAAACTTTAACTTTGGGGTGTGTCATTTATATTAATATGGCTTATACCTCTGGATATTTACTTGCTTAAAATTAGTCTTACATTAAAAACCAAACCGTGAAGGAATCAGTATAGTCTTTTTGTGGCGTAACTTTTGAGTAATTTTGGCAGATACCATTTTGTGCTTTACTTTTCTTAGTTATGAGAGGATTGAACTTTTAAAATCAGCACTGTTAAAATTTTTCAAATGAAATCTTATTTGAAATGCTAATCTATGAAGCCGATAAAAGGGTAGCTGTTCTGGATAAAGCTGGGTTGGGAAGCCTAGCATCCCATTTCATTATTTTCAATATCCTTGAGCAGGTCTCAGGAATGCTATGGTTTGCAGAACCACAAGGAAGCCATTAAACCAAGCATGTCAAACTCTATGATGATTATTTCTATCTCTAGTAATAAAATTTTATATTAGTAATATAATTATATAATTTAGTTATACTTTTTTTTTTTTATAGAATCAAGTTTAGATTTTCACAGGATGCTTTTCATTCTGATTGTAAACAGATAGTACTAAAGCAAGTCTGATACCTAAGTTTTACATATAAGATTTTTGTGTTTTGTTTTTTTTTTTAGTATTGTAGCTCTATATGCCCAAAACAAGCAGTACTGAAAATTACTTAAGAGGAATGTCTTTGAAGCATATTTTACCTGTTAACTGAGCGGGACCTATAAATACGTCAAACGTAAACAATATCAGGAACGGGTAGGACATATGAATACGTCCTTGAAATATATGTTGCGCCCCGAGAGGGACGGTATATATTTTTTGTAATCTTTTTAAAAAAAAATATTTTATTGATTTTTTTTACAGAAAGGAAGGAAAGGGGAGGGATAGAGAGTTAGAAATATCGATGAGATGAGAGAGAAACATCGATCAGCTGCCTCTTGCACACCCCCCACTGGGGATGTGCCGGCAACCAAGGTACATGCCCTTGATCGGAATCGAACCCAGGACCTTTAGGTCCAAAGGCTGACGCTCTATCCACTGAGCTAAACCGGTTTCGGCTATTTTTTTGTAATCTTTATCATTGTTTGTAAAATTTATAATTTTTTAATTCGACGTGTCCATTTTTTTTTTGTCGGTATTCTTTTCTATTTTTTTTTGTAATTTTGTATTTTCCTTTGTGCTTTATATATATAAATAAACGAAAAAAATATATATTTCATTTTCATTAAGTATAAATAAAAAAAATAATATGAAATTACATCCTCCAGGCGTGACGTACTGACACGTCCTAGTAAAAGAGTACGCGCCCGTTACAGGTTGCGTCAATAAAAAGGGAACTCCCGGTTAACAGGTTAATACTCACTGTTTATTTGATGTATTTTTTCTGAAAGACACTTCTTAAAAACCATCTTGACCTTTTAAAAAAAACCAATAACATATCTGAACGTTTATTCTAGTATTGCCGGCAGTACAGGAGAGCAGCAGGCCAACCACAAAAATCTGCTCTGTAGCACCCCCATAAACCAGCTGCTTATATAGGGTAGGACAAAGATTACATAGGAAAGTGGGACTCCATTGTTTGGGCAATAAAGTTGTTAATCTTTCCATGACGATAGGCAGTTCTTGAATGAGAATGGTTCCAAGGTTGACTCCCAGGTCCTGGGAGGCTGTACACTTCCCAGTCAGGTCAGAATGTCCTTACTTTAACCAACACAAGGCAATCATGGTTAACAGAGTAGGATTAATATTTCCTATAACCATAACTAGTCCCCAATATTCTATTTTTGCCCTTAACGTTTCCCCACTGCTATTTCTATCACCTCATATCTATGACATTAGCATTAGATGAAAAAGTCTAATCCTGCTGGACTGCATTTGCTTCTGCCTTGAAAGCAGTTCTGAGGAATGGAATGCACCAAATGCAGGATGTTGGATATATTTTCTATTTACTGAGAATTGTCAGAAAGATTAAAATAGCGCATTCCTTTAAATTCCTCACAACCATGATTTATTTGCTGTTGCAGCATAATCTATTGCTGCCTGATTTTCTAGAACTGCCTCCCTGTTCTGGCTCAGCTCTTCATTTATCCCATGGATAGCCTGGAGGTGACCTTCAGGGTTTTTACTATGCTACAAGCTAGCTGGTCACTTCCTACATTAAGGGAGCCTACCATTACCAGCATAACAAAAGTGGTCAAAGCAATATATGCAGCATGGCTCCACAGGTGGAGATAGTCTTTGCAGTCCGGTGCCACAGCCTTGAGAAAGTCTGTTTTGGTTTAGACCTGGGGTGTTTCTGAGTTATAAATATCGTTAGGCCCTTTGGTGCTGTTAGTAGAGAGTTACCCCAGATATCAGAAACCAATCAGCCAGCAGCTTAATATATCCATCCATTACTATAAAGGAAGGTGAAGTTATCGGAACAATTCATATTGTAGTTAGATACTGAAAGATAACTAGAACACTGCATTAGCCTTGCATCCTTTTTCCAGACAGTGGGTCCAACAAGGAATCCCAGACGAGAGGCAGCAAATGCTTCTCATGTCATAAAAACAGTTTGATTCCTCTTACAAAACTGCTTGATTCAACGCGGGTCTCAGGTGAGATGACGGGAATTGCCAAGGCTAGAGCTGGAACTCAAAACAGGAACATTTCTGGCAGCACTGCAACTAAAGAGCCCAGGCTTCAGCCCCAGGAACCCCTGTCCAAGCAGCAAGTGGGATCCCCAGTACTCACTCAGAGAAATTCTCAGTATCTCTGCGTGATTGCAAGAATGGGCAACCGGACAATCAGTGGGTCCGTGCTGCCTGTCACTACTTGAGCCAACTAAGAGACAGGATTGAATCATATATGAGCATTTATTCCAATACTCCCTGCAGTATGGTAGAGGAGCAGGTCATCCACAAAAGTCTCAAAAACCATCTTGACTTTTATGGTATCTAGGTTTTTCTGCAGAATGAACATTAAAACATGTTACTCAGAACTTTATTTTAGAAACATCGCCTCTTGATTTCAGTTTTTGGTTGATCATATGCTATAGTGCTTTATGTTCCAACTAGAGGCCTGGTGCACAAATTTGTGCATGGGTGGGGTCCGGCTGGCCTGCCCCTATTGAGGGGACGAAGGAGGTTGGCTGGCCAGCCCTGCCCCTGATTGGGGTGGGAAGGCCAATCAGGGATAGGGCCGGCCAGGGTGAGGGGCTGAGGGTGGTTGGCCAGCTGGCCCCACCCCCTAGTTGAACTCCTGATGGAACTCCCAGTCGAGGGGACAATTTGTATATTAGCCTTATAATAATAGGATGTAATTTGGTTTATTTTAGGTGTTTTGCTGGAGATCAGTCAGCAGTTCTCTAAAGCAGTGTCGATGGGCTTATCCACGCCAAGTCTTCATTTCTGATATTGCTTTAAATAGGAATGAAATTTTATTTGTCACCCAGGATGGAGAAGGATTTAGAGGGAAATGGTTTGATGAAAAAAGAAAGAGTTCTGAAAAGAAAGGTCAGTTTATATATGTGAATGGCACATAAAGGTTCTTTCATGTAACTTTTAATGTCATAAGATTTACCCTTATGTCCCTTTTGATTTTGGTTTGTATATGTGCAGGTAAGTGAAAGGAATTTTATTTATTTAAATTGGAATTTTTAACTTTTTATCTGTCTCAGCATATCCTGAGGTCATGGTACATTCTCATCAGTAACAGTGGCTCACCGTTACTAATTGCTAACCTTTACTCTAGGACTAGGTAAGTGTAAAGTTAAACACACAAGCAAGCAAACAAAAACAACTCCCCAGATGTTTTTCAAAATCATAAAACCACAAAAGAATGATTTTTTGGATAATTATTTGTTTTCATTTCCTTATAAACTAGTCAAATCTGTTGACATAAAGGTACATTTACTGTATGCTAGGTATAGGGCCAGGTTTTAATAATACTAAAATATATAAGGTGGGCCCTTGTTCTGAGACACTCAGAAATAAATATTTGCAGTCATGGAGACAAATGCTAACACTTTTATTTGAGAATATAGAAATTGGAATAACTGTGTGTTGGGGGAATACTAGTAAATTCCTGAGACTGCAAAAGAATGAATTTGAGAATAACCAGAATTGAGGTTTGACATAAATGTTGAGTCCTTAAAATTGTGTCTTATTTACATCATATTTAGTGGATAGACTGATGATCACTATATGGTAGATAGTGTAGTCACCCTGATATTTGCTGAATAAGGGGAAGAAAGGGAGAGGAGGAAAGAAAGAAACAAATAAGCAACCAATTATGTAGGTGCCAAGTTTACATATTTGTAATGCAAACAGGAATTTTAAAATCCTTTTTAACTCTAGATTTGCTTTTTAGAAAGATAACTTTGGTTGCAAGTAGAGGATTTTTATTGAAAGGGAGAAATTCATGGATAATTGAGAATTGCCCTCCCAAAATTTCATGTATTATACAATCAGTATATAGGGTGCACATTGTTTAAAGAGAAAAAAGGATGTAATTTTTCAAATGGAGTGAATACATAAGAAAGATATTTTTGTATTCTAATTGTTTTTTTATTTTTTCCTAAATAATTTTAATAAAACCTTAATTGGAATTTTTTTCCTTTTAACAGAGATTTTATCAAACCTTCATAATTCTTCATCAGATGTATCTTGTGTCCCTGATACAAATAGTGTATATGAAAGAATTCGACTTGAGAAACTTACATTTGCCCATAGAGCTGTTAGCGTCAGCACAGATCCAAGTGGATGCAACTTTGCAATTCTGCAGTCAGATCCTAAAACAAGGTATACTTGTATATATTACATTTCATTTTTAGAAGGAACAATACTGGAATTTTTTGTGTTTGTTTTCCATAGCTCCTAGACCAAATTTAATTGAAGAGCTATTGCCATGTCTTGTAGAGACTTTAGACATAGAATCATGCTACCAGAATAACTCACAGGTAGTATTTGTTGCACTGGTAATTTGTTTGAAAACTGATACTTATTGGAAATATTGAAGATGCATACGTTTATATATATATGAGAGGCCCAGTGCATGGATTCATGCACCGGTGGGGTCCTTTGGCCTGTCCTGCAGGGTTTAGGCTGAAGCTGGCTCTCTGACATCCCCCGAGAGGTCCTAGCCAGGGTGCAGAGGGTGCAGGCCAGGCAAAGGGACCCCAGCGGTGCACGATTGGAGCTGGGGAGGGACTGTGAAAGGGCTCTAGAATGTGTCTGGCTCATGTTGCTCAGTCACCATCATGGCCAGCCGCCTGAGGAGGGACTGGAGGAGGTTGGCTGGCTGGGGAGGGACTGAAGGAGGACTGCAAGGCTTGTCCTGCCCGTCTCACCCAGTCCCGATCTGCTGGACCCCAGCAGCAAGCTAATCTACTGGTTGGAGCATCTGCCCCCTGGTAATCAGTGCGTGTCATAGCGGCTGGTAAAATGGTTGAACAGATGGTCAGACACAGCATATTAGGATTTTATTATATAGAATAGGCACACAAATTTATTTATACCTTTAGTGCTTTGTGATATACTCTAAGGTCCCAGATCCTGAAAAGTATAAATATTTGTTATGTAGTTTGCAACAATTTCTGACCCTTGAATATGATAAGAATTGATAAAAGAAGTATTTTAGAATCACCTGTAGGGTAGGGTAGTGTGAATCTCTGTACAAATCTTTTAAGTCACATTAGTAGAGAGATGACAGATTAAGGTAAATATCAAGTATTGAAAAGGAAAGAAGTCCTAGAAGTAGGGTGACCATCCGGTTTGGCCATGCCTATTCTGTATTTAGCACTGGGAGACCCCTCTATCTCAGGCAAACCGAGAGTGTTGATCTCCCAGACCAGGAAGGATAAAATGTAGATTGGGAAGGTGTGATAGCACTCTTAAAGTACTAAAAGACAGGGTTACAGACCAATTGTGAGTCTATGCGTGTGTTTATTTTTACTTCCTTGAGTTTCCTATTCTAGGATTTGGGACCCAAAACATTTACTCAATTCTTTATATATTTTTCTTTACTTGTAAAATAAGTGGATATAAAAGAGGAAGAGGTTGAGACCTGTATCCTTTTTTGAATGCTTTTAGTTATTTTTATCATTTAAAAATTTCTATGAAATAGTCATTCGAAATTTATATTTTAGTGTTTGTTGAAAGAGAAACACTGCTTTCAAACGAAAACTTAATTCTTATCATTTTAGTTTAGGAGAAAAAGGAATAGGAAAAATTTAAAGGGTGATATACTATCTAAGACTATGCAATATTCTTATATTTTAGGAAATGTCAAATGTAAAATTTTCTAAGTTTAGCAAATAAAAAAGAAATTGCACTTTAAATGGAGAATTGGCTGGGGATGCTATAAAGATTTTTATTTTTATTTTTATTGATTCCCGAGAGAGGAAGGGAGAGGGAGAGAGAGAGAAGCATCAGTGTTGAGATAGAATATTGATCCACTGCCTCCTAGATACCCCCATTCTGGGGATCGAGCTGGCAACCTGGGTATGTGTCCTGACCAGGAATCAAACTGTGACTTCCTGGTTCATGGGTCAATGTTCAAGCACGGAGCCACAACAGCCGGGCTAGGGATGCTTTTTAAAAAATTTTTCTTGAAAGTAAAAATGATTTTTTTGTTTCATTTCTAGCCTTTATGAAATTCCAGCTGTGTCTTCATCATCTTTTCTTGAAGAGCTGGGCAAACTGTTGAGGGAAGCGGATGAAATGGACAGCATCCATGATGTGACATTTCAAGTTGGCAACAGAATCTTCCCTGCTCATAAATATATTTTGGCATTGCGTTCTGACT